AAAGAAAATGTGATTTGTCGACTCAGATGCTCGGATGCCCGATGTAGATGTATTCAGTAGTGGATATATGGGTCAGCATGTCTCCTTTCAGCGTTCTGCAGAAAGCACTGTGTTCTGACACCTTTATATCAACGGCAGCATTAAGGTTTTTAGCCACGCACCACACACAGGCCAAGCATAATGACGTTGTGACCATGTCTTTGCTGCCAGTTCACCAGTCGTCCTTCCTTGGACCCATTTGGCCAAGAATACTGAGGAACTCGGTACAATAATTTAAATGTGGCCTAATTAAAATTTAAAAAAAAGTGTAGAGTGATTCAAAATTTTCGAATGATCTGATGCTGGAGTTAAGTGTCAGCCTGATTGACTGTAATCTCAGACAAGATCATTAACACATCATCCTCCTCCCTTTGTCTCTGCATCATTTGTGAATCCTTCACAGTGCATGAACAGCAGAACATTCACAGGCAAACTTATGGACAGACTTTGTGTTGCGTGCCTCTCCAGTGCTTTCCTCACCTCTCTCTGCTATACATTTTGTCAGAAAACTCTCTTTCTGCCTCTGCATCGCCTCAAAAAACACATCATTATGATGGAGCAGAAGGAAGGTTAAATGCTAACATTTCTCTAAACATCAATACAAATGTGCCTATTGTGGCCTGTAGCAAAAGCTAGCAACAATGACACTGAGTAATGCTGTCGCTGATGCCGTACTTGTAATTCATCACCCATTCATTGAACATAATCCTGGAAAATGAATGCAATATGGATTCCAGGTGTCAAGGAGTGTCAAGAGCTAGTATATGCATAGGTAATGTCATGCATCCAGGGGTCATTTGTGAAGTTTTCCCCACTTCTCTACCTGAGAGGTTGTCGTTTACAGAAAAGAAAGCTCTTTTGTAACACTAAAATATAGTCTTTAAGCAACGTTTACCAGAGCAATATCACAGTTTCTACTTAAATTGATCATTCTTGCTTATTCCAGTGCAACCTAGTAGTCAACTGACAATGCACAGTATCAGATGCAATATTAATAATAATAATACATTTTATCTGAAAGCGCGTTTCAAAACACTCAAGGTCGCTGTACACAGTAGAATAAAAGCAAGAAGTTTACAGAATCATAAAAGCATAAGTCATAAACAAATAAAATAGGAGAGTGGAAAGGTTATGTGGGATAAGCTATTTTGTACAAGTGGGTTTTGAGTTTGGACTTAAAGAGAGAGAAGGAAGAGATGTTTCTTAAATCAGGAGGTAGGGAATTCCAGAGTCGTGGAGCAGAGCAGCTGAAAGCCCTGCTCCCCATGGTTGCAAGACGGGGGGAAGGGATGGACAGTGAAAGGGAAGAAGAAGATCTGAGACAACGAGATGGGGCGGTGATCTTAACCAGGTCAGAGAGATATGGAGGAGAGAGATGATGAATAGCCTTAAATGTGTACAAGAGTATTTTGAAATTGATGCGATATTTGACCGGGAGCCAATGAAGCTGCTGCAGGACAGGAGTGATGTGGTGGGCAGAAGGGGTCCTGGTG